GGCACAAATGAAGAGAGCAGAACAACAACAGCACAGCAGCAGCAAACAAATATGATCCATGTGTGAGTGTGACCCCGGCTTTCCACCGGAGCCGTCAGCAGCACGTTACTGCAGCAGCACGTCATAGCTGCTGATAGGAACCACTGTGGTCAACAGAACCTTTTCCACTGGAGCCGTCAGCAGCGCGAGTCGGCCGCGTCTCAGGAGCAGCATGTCGCGGCCTTTACGCGCCGGTTCTATTTTCTACGCGCGACACCTCTGAAACGGGTCAAGTTCGACATTTTTGGGGAAGGAAAGACAGGAAATCGGATGCGGAAATGGAGAGAAGCTCCCGAGATTTTCAGAATAAAGAAACGTGCTGCCTTCCGGTTGCTTTACTTTTAAAAAAGGTCACTAACTGTGCGTCCCCGTGAGAAGTTATCACCTAGCTAGCGGTCTCCTTTGTTTTTCAGGTCCGTATTGGCGATTATAAAATGGACAGAACATAAAACACAAACCATGTTGTAGTTTTCTCCTGCTCGTTGTTGTGTTTACTGACGAAGTCACTCGTGTGACTTCGTGCTCGGTCGGTGACAGCTGCTCCCCTGCTGCTTCGCGTCTCATGGGAAGGACCAAGCAGCAGCTTACGCGAGCAAGACGTGCTGCTGCAGTAATGTGCTGCTGACGGTTCCCGTGGAAACCCGGGGTGAGGCAGCGAAACGAGGTGGAGGTGTGTGAAAACATCGTTTAGTTTGCCAACCTCTACTATTGAGTTAGTGTGTGAATCTGTCTGCTTTGTTAGAGGCTAGAGGCTAGACAACTTTATTTATATGTCACACGTCATACACACTGTGTGTGGAGCAATAGAGGACAGCTGAAGATCATTAGCCCCATGTAACCACACACCCCACCCCGATCGGTGAAGGGGGGGGGGGGGGGGGGGGGGGGGGGTAGGATAATGTAAGGCACTTGAACTGGTCAGTAAGACTAGAAAGGTCTTGCATAAATACTGTTTATTTACACCTAAGCTATGATTACAGGTGTGGAACACTGAAAAGAAGTGACAGATTCTCCTGCATCAGCTTCTGATAGGAAACAGAAGGTGAAAGTCTAGGATTAGAAAAGTCTGACAGATCTACGTCACACTGTCACTTAACAGTCACGGAGTGTTTCTCAATGTCAAGGCGCCTTGCTTACGAGGACACCGTCCTTCCTTGGTCATAGAAAATAGTTAAATGGAACAGACTTACGTACCTCATGTGACTGCAGCTCTGGGAGCTTATGCGCTTACGTGGGGATGGAGTTTTTTCTAGAAATGAGGTGATGTGGATGATTTTTTTTTTTTTGCGAGGGCAGATATTCGTTAGAAAGACGGCTACGTGTGGACTAGGGATGTGTATTGGTGAAATTCTAGTGATACGATACGTATAACAATACAGGCGAGACAATACAATGTATATCTTGCTATACATTCAGTCAGACGTTATTAGCGCTAGGGCCCGACGGTCAGGCAACTAAATCTAACTAGCATATTATCATTAGCATCCAAGCAATCAGTATGTTAAGTTAGTCAAAGTTCAAGAATAAGTTAAAATGCCACCACTAGTTAGCATGCAAATGCTTACTAGCATGGTAATGGTGGCTAGCATGTTATTAATAGCTAGGAAGTAAGCAGTATGAAAAGGTAAGCAAATCAGTAATGAACTAAAATGATAGCATGATGATGCTAGCTAAATCTGAGCATATTTAGTATCCAACAAACGAAAAAAACTACCATACTATGAGTGTTTGTGTTTTGTGAAAGCTGATGATTTGGCTCACAACTGATAGATTTACATTTTGGCTCTATAAATGAAAAACGTTAGGGTAACCCTGGTTAAAGGGGTTGTTTTATTAAATCTTTGTTGTTAACAAGGGCTGTTCATTTTTAAATAACTGTTAATATACTTGTAAGTAGGCCTAATCTATGTTGCATTTTTACTTGTTGACACAACAATATAATAAAAATTTTCACATTTTGAAGTAGTTTGATGTTAGCCTTGAAAGTGTTTCCGTAATAATATTGGAACTTCTTCGTGCTTACAATTTTGTAAATCTACTTTGACTGTAGTGGAAATTAAGATGTTTTGTTGAATGTGGTCATAAAGGCATCAATTCATAACATTATTTAACATGCTGAAGGCAAACTGTGCAAAACAAGTTGCAAAGACGCAGGAGAGAGCATTGTTTTTCATGCCCCCCCCAAAAAATACTCTCTGAAATTTTACTGTTTATTGTCCCCCCCAAAACTGAAATGGGATTTCTGCCCTTGGCCCGACCGATATGCTTTTTTTGGGACCGATACCGATATAAAACTTTTAACAAAGGCCGATAGCCGAGTCACGCGGGTGCAGCTTCCAAGATGGCCGCAAGCTAGGGAGCTCTCTTCCTCGCACATGCTACTAACAGGATTTTAGCTGAAAAACGCAACTATACTGGTGGAATATTGTTCTTGGGAGTACTGAGTCTGCGTACGTTTGATATTTAGTCTGAAAAGATTACAAACCTGTGTCGACGTCGTCGAAATATTTTAAAAGCTCGTCACGAGCGTCGAGCGTGTACCCGGAAAGGTCAGGTCCACGAAGACGACAGCGATACGGGAGAAAACCCAGCACCCACGACTGCGACAGTCAGCCTGGAAAGACTTTTTGCAGAAATATCGAAAATGAGTGAAATGCTCCAGAATGTCGCGACAGATATCGTGTCTATTAAACAGGCTACTGCCGAGCTGACTACGACGGTGACAGCAATGCAGGAGAGGCTCGGTGAGGCCGAAACGTGAATTATGCAGCTGGAGGAGACGTCAGAACGGCTTCAGAAAGATAAGGAAAGTTAACTTGGTGAACGTATTCACCCTGGACAGGAAATAATTGCACATAAGAAACATAAATAAGAATAAAAAATTAAAAAATAAGTTCCAAATCAATCATTTGTGTTCAAAGTTCAAAGGAATTGGAGCGACACAACATGAGTTCATAAAGCTGGCGCCATCTGCTGGATAGGTAGCACAATATCAGCCATATCGGCCGTCTTTTTGGCCGATAGTGTTAATGACCCCCTATATCAGCCGATATCGGCCGGCCGATATATCGGTCGGGCCCTAATTAGCACAATATGTTTTTTGCTGAATTTATTGTAGGAATTTGCAGTAATCAATCCAAACTGGTCCTTAACATGTTTAACACGAGATATCTGAACCATAACAGGGGGATTTACATTTCCCTACTAGCGGTCGGCGTTTGATTTGCACCAAAAGAAAAGAAAATACACAAATGTTTGCATGTAAATTCTTTCCAAAATTAGATACATGGCTTTTGAATTTTGCATTATCGCAGGAGAAAGTATCACAATATATTGCCATATCGACATTTTCTTGCATCCCTAATGTGGACAAGGCCTGAAGTTCCGACAGTGGAAATACGCCAATTGATTAGAAAAGGGTTTCATGCCTTGTGAGGCCCAAATTCAAAAAGAGATGGTGGAACGTTATGGGAGCAAGTGTGTTACAGTTGGCTCGGTGCCTTCTGCGTGTGTGTGTGTGTGCGTGTGCGTGTGTGCGTGTGTGTGTGTGTGTGTGTGTGTGTGTGTGTGTGTGTGTGTGTGTGTGTGTGTGTGTGTGTGTGTGTGTGTGTGTGTGTGTGTGTGTGTGTGACAAGTCTCGGGGTAAAGCTGGATGCTGAACTCTCAATGGCCCCACAGATAAACTCCGTAGTGAGGTCTTGCTTTTATCAGCTTCGCCGCCTGACTCGCCTCAGACGAATCCTGAAACGGAGGCATTTGTCATTCATGCCTTCATTACCTCTCTCCTGGACTATGCAAACGCCCTCCTCGTTGGTGTTCAGGTCTCTGCCCTGAATCGGCTGCATTTCGTCCAGAACTCTGCTGCCAGGTTCTTGACGAATACACTCCGACGTAGCCATATTACCCCTGTCCTGGCCCGTCTTCACTGGCTCCCTGTCATTTTCAGAGTACAGTTTAAGTTACTGACTTTTGTATTTAAAGCACTCAATGACCTGGCGCCTCCCAATCTCTCTGACCTGCTCACTCCATATGTACCCACGCGCACGTTGAGGTCGGCTGACCTTTTGCTGCTGTGTACGCCGCGGATACGACACAAATCTCAGGGTGAACGAGCATTTGTGCATGCTGCCCCAAAGCTGTGGAACTCGTTGCCCAGTGGAGTTCGCCAGGCTCCATCACTGGCGGTTTTTAAATCTCATTTAAAGACCCACTTTTACGATTTGGCTTTTAGACAGTGACTCGTTTTAGTGTTTTATTGTCATTGTTTTAATGTGTTCTTAGTATTCTTCATGTTTTATCTGCTTTGACTGGGATTTTTGTCCTCTGTTTTAGTTCCTTAGGATGGTCGCGTTTTGTTTTAGCCTGTGCAGCACTTTGGGCAGCTCCCATGCTGCGTTTTAAACGTGCTATATAAATAAACTATGGTATGGTGTGTGTGTGTGTGTGTGTGTGTGTGTGTGTGTGTGTGTGTGTGTGTGTGTGTGTGTGTGTGTGTGTGTGTGTGTGTGTGTGTGTGTGTGTGTGTGTGTGTGTGTGTGTGTGTGCTTGTCTTTATATGTAAAGTGGACATATTTTGACATTAACTTGTTACGTGTGGACATTTTCCATTGTGGGGACATTTGCTGGTCCACACAATGCTAAGCACCCTAAAACTTGGCTTTAGAGGCATGGTGTGAATTAACTTTTAGTTTCGGTTAGGGTATGGGTAAGGCATAGCGGAGTCACTAAAAGGAATGGAAGTCAACGGTCCACACAATCATATATATACAAGTGTGTGTGTGTTCTATGTGACACCCCTGCACTGTGTTACTAGTGGACCTCTAACGACCGTAGCAGGAAGTGGTCATACCTCCGCGCTGACCCTCCTGCTGTTGCCAGAAGGCGTATAGTCTTACAGCCTAACTTTAACCTGGATGCAAGGATAGTTTTTATGTTGACATTTTTGTGTTCCTCTGTTTCAGATCAGAAGGAGAAGCTGACCTCCGTATGGAGAGGCAGTGGGGCGCTCTGTACTTGCCCTCTGCCGGTGTGACTGCAGTACCCCCCCACCCCTCATCAGAGACCAGCTTTGTCTCTCATCTTGTGAGGTGGGTCAGGGCTTTCCTCTCATTGTAGACTCTTATCTCCATCTTGTGTCTTCATGTTTTGGGGGTCCTCCTGTGCCCCTAACCTCCTCCGTCCACCCTGCACCAACTGCAACCACGGCCGGCCACCACAGTCACTTTGTTGCCATGCCGACAGAGGCACTGACTCCTGCGCTGCCAGATAGTAAGGCCACTGGCCCCCCTGTACCCTTCAGCTCCACTGTACCCCTCCGCATCCTCAACAAGGGTCCTGACTACTTCAGGAGACAGGTACCAATAATCAGTGCTATTTTTTCATTGATGTTATTCATTTACTGTTGAAAAGTTCCAACTAACTCACACTTTTAAGGACAGAACGATAGCAGACAAAGACTGTAAAGGGCTCTTTGTAGGCAGTGCTGTTAAATATGTTGAAAAATCCCAATTCAAACCTGGAGAAGCCATGGTTGGAAGCTGGTAGCTGTTTTGGCGATGAAACATTCACTTTTACTCTGCATTGTAGGTGGACCCCAACCCCAAACGCCTCAGTGCAGTCGAGAGACTAGAAGCTGATAAGGCCAAATATGTTAAGAGCCAGGAGGTCATCAACGCCAAGCAAGAGCCAATCAAACCTCCCATACTGGCCAAGCCCGCTGTTGGCCACGCCCTTCTGTCCAAGAGAGGCCCTGGGATTGGTGGAGGAGGGATGCCATTCAAAGCTTCCAATAACAATGCAAAGTCAAACACATGCGCAACAAGCAGTGATGGCAGCAAACGGGACAATTTAAACCTGGAGATCCTAAAAAACCTGCTGAATTCATCCTCCTCCCCAGGGGCGGGGTCTGAAGGACTAACAGGTGGAGCCAAGAGTGCTGTACTAATGAGATCATCAGGGGGCGTAGCCAGGACCTGGGCGCCATCCGGGTAAGTCCACACGCCATGGTTAGGGTGCTCCTGCACCACTTTGCTGTTCAGTATTTATCAGTGAACTTAACTCTTTTAAATCCTCCTCTGATGGGAATGTTTGATGGTCAGTGGTCTTCGGGTTCCTCTCAGAACCACAGGCGCAGGAACCAGTAATGGGCCATTCCCATCTGTACCGGGTCGGCCCGGGCTGGGTAGCCCCAGTCGGCCCCAGCCTGGCCCGGTTGATTCCACACATCCTTGTCTTAAGCCCATGTGGGCTGGTTCTACCCACCAATCAGAGGCTTGCTCTAATGGAAGGTGTGAATTTGCTGTCAGCAGTGGGTGTGTTGGCCCTGGTCGGCCTGAAGCAGACCCCCTCGAGAAGAGGGCTGAGAATGAGCCTTGGTTGGCCCGGAAAAATACCAGGCCACCCAGATATGTAAACAACCTACGCTACCCGGCCCGGGCCGACCCGGTACAGATGGAAATGGCCCATAAGGTGGCTCTTTGGTTTCCTAATCTTAGTTCAACTCCGACTCAAAGCATTTTAGATGAAAACTGACGCGGTTTTGTCCTGTTCTGTTCGTGTTTGAAGCGGTCTCAGGTCTTCTCTGTGGTCACAGGCCTCTGTGGTGTTTGGTGTTGGTCATCACAAACCACTACGCCCTTTATATCCGAACACAATGGGATGAATTTCACTTTCTAGACAGTAATGTAAACAACTGGTGGAAACCTCCAGGGAAAACTGGATGGTTGCTTCCAACTAGGGCTGCAACAACGAATCGATAAATTCGATGAAAATCGATTACTAAAAGCGTTGGCAACGAATTGCGTCATCGATTCGTTGTGTCGCACAACTCTTCCAAAAGCGCCCCGCCTTCCCGCCCGCCGTTGCGCGCAGACCAGAGCAAGTCTGATCAGCGCGAGGGAGAGCCGCAGATCAGCGCGAGGGGGAGCCGGCAGATCAGGGCAAGGGAGAGCCGGCAGATCAGCTCGAGTGAGAGCCGCAGATCAGCGTGAGGGAGAGCCGGTACCGGCAGATCAGCGCGAGGGAGAGCCGCAGATCAGCGTGAGGGAGAGCCGGTACCGGCAGATCAGCGCAAGGGAGAGCCGGCAGACTTGCGCTGCTGCGAACCGGTTCCACATTGTTGCACAGCGATCCAGGCAGCTGCTTCCAGCGCACGGTCCTGTGGTGATGTCACCTCACTGACGCAGCATCGAAAACGCGCTCTGCGCTTTTCGGTCAGGAGATCCCTTTGATCTGCTCAAAAGTAACTGATGAGGTGAAAAGGTAAGAATCCAGGCAACAGATTTTCTGGAGAATTAAGAGGAGATGCAGGAAGATGAGAGACAGACAGGACAGGAAAATAGTTAAATAAAAACAAGAAAACAAAACAAAGTGTTGAAAAGTAAAATGTAGGTAGATTTATCTCCACTACACGTTTTTACCTATAAAAAACAATAAGTTCTACACATGTCATATTTATACATCTGATACAATTCAGATCACCTTCAAAACTCAGTCACACACCCAGGGCCGTTTCAAGACATCTTGGGGGCCAAGGCAAAATGCCCCCCCCCCCCCCCCCCCCCCCGCAAATAACTGGGCTCCCCAGAAGCCTCTGTGTAAAGGTTGGTTTATGCTTGACGCGTCCGCGAGGTCCGCACGGCTCCGCGCGGAAAAGTTGCGTCATTTTGCGTCATTTTAACAACCACGCCCCTCCACCGCGTCTCCGCACGGCCCAAGATTTCCGCAACGCGCACCTCGGAAAATTTCTAACCACGCGGACGGTCGGACGCGGAAAAACATGGCGGACCGGCACGGCAGAGGTTCGTAAATACAGACATTTATATGATTCAGCTCTCAGAGATCACCGTGATCAACATGTTGTTAATAATTCTTGGAGAGAAATAGCTCACACTGTCGGAAAAGACGAGAACGCTGTTAAAAATGCTGAAATGCCGTGTTGTAAACAGTAATTTCTACTTCTACTATGGTGTAGTGTTGGATGCATGCTGTAGAGCTCCATGCTGCCCCCTACAGTTTGGGAGAATATTGGCTCACCGCAGAGATGAGCCGCACAAACCATAAACGCTGCGAGTTGTGAAGCGCGTTCCAGCTGCGAGCCGCATCACCGCGCGGAAAGTGAATGCGTCAAGCATAAACCAAGCTTTATTAATGCCCTCTCCAGTAGTGTTAGTTATACGGTGTTTATAAAAGCCCCTCAGACATTACTGACATGTTCTAATATTATCAGATGAAAAACTAAATTATCAGATATGCTGTCTCATCTGCTTCTTTTATAAACTTGCAAAAAGTAACAAAACCATTTGAAAGCCACTATTTGTGGATTCTCTGAAAGTTTCCATGGAGTGTGTGACAACTTATTTTTTCATTGATCCTATCGTCTAATCTCACAGCTGAAACAAGCATCCTTAATCATCTGTGCACAGGAAGCTTACCGATGCTGTAGTAAAACAAAAGGTATAATAATTTATTATTAATAAAACCTTGTTGCAGCACTAAAGCAGAAAAATTAGATTTTGCATTAAATATGCAAAATATTTACATATGAGTTGTTTTAGAGCCCTTTTATTGGCAGAATCTGATATTAATTTAGTTCTTACAAAAAATGGGTCCCAACATGGTTTGTGTGGCGTTGCCATAGTGTGATGTCATAGGCACAGATCCCCTGTCCTCTTGTTTGGAAATGGAAATATGATCACCCTACATTAAACAAACTGTCCAACCGGGCTTTTGCGCTGCACAGAGACGCTTCGCTGCCTACGACTGAACGTCAGTTGAGAGTCAGTCTCATGCAGACTGACCAATGAAGAGAGGGCCTCAAGTTAAGACCCCCTCCTCATTGGTCAGTCCACACGAGGTGGGTCAAAGGTTACTCTGGGTGGGTTACGTGTTGTCAGGCATTAAAGTATTGAGTATATTTACTGCATATTACAGTAAAATATTCTGTATGTGACCACATTATGGTGATCCTTGGGTCGTGATGATGGAGCCCTTGAATATTGTTGCCCAGGGTACAACAAAGTGTTAATCTGGCCCTGGTTCCGCCGTCACATTCCCGCAGAAACTGGTTGATCACACCGGGGCCAGACTACTAGCATGTGGCTTTACAGCCACAATGTCCTCAGAAGCAAAAACGCTTCTCAAAGGGAGGGAGGAGTCCTAACTGTTGCTGCAGGCGTGTTGTGTGAGAGTGCAGTTATTTACTGGTTAATATATTTTTGGGTTCAGTTGCTTTCATGTGGCCTAATGTGAGTCTATTTGGGATCATTGGAATGATCAGCAGCATTTCTTGATGTGACTTTATGGCAGTTGCCCAGGGCATCATCGCAAGGAGGATGGCATTCATTTACTTTTGTTTTATTTGGTATTTTTTCAGTCATTTTTGGAAATAGTGATCAATTTTGATTAATTCACAGCCTATGTTTAATTACATTTAAAATAAATGTCAACAGATGAGATCAAACAAAACAGATGAAAATTGCCCTTAAGCTGTTTAACTTGGACCAAGCATTTTAGGTCACAGATAGATGTAGCTTAGAGTCTCTGTCTATACACCTTATAAGACAATTTAGGTGATGGCATGTTGTTTTTCTGCTATTGAACTGTTTTCTAATAATGTTGTGTTAAATAAAGTGAAGGAAGGAGAGAAATAACATTTCCCTAGCAGTTTTTAAAAATTTCCCCATGTAATCCGATTAATCGATTAATCGTGTCGAGACCCCATCCGATTAATCGATTATCCAAATAATCGTTTGTTGCAGACCTACTTCCAACCCAAGAGGACGTGTTCTGACTACTGGTGCGTGACGAGTCAGTTGCCTCCGGGACCAAAGCTGTGTTTGGGTTTCTGGTATCATCTGAACAGTCGTTCTTGGTCTTGGAGCCGATCTTTAGAATCAGAATCAGAAGTTTATATTGCCACATGTGTGACAAGTCACAACATTAGGAAATTGCTGCGGTATTTTGGTGCAGAAGGTAAGATAGAAAAAAATTAATTAAGAGATAAGCAAATATAAGAACTAATAAAACACTCATGATAAAATTATTAATGTAAAAAGTGGCAAGAATTAGAGAAGCAGCTATCTACTCCATGTAGGTATTAATCTGAGTGTTTGTTGAATGGTTCAAGCACAGCATCGGGTCACGTGACTGGGACCAATCAACTTGAGTGGGCTGCCTTAGGATTTTCATTCAAAAGTCCAACTGCAGAGGGGAAGAAACTGTTTTTGTGGCGAGAGGTTCTGGTCCGAATGGATCTGAGCCTTCTGCCGGATGGGAGCGAGTCGAAGAGACTGTGTCCAGGGTGAGACGAGTCAGCTATTATCCGACCTGCACGCCTCAATGTCCTAGAGGTGTACAGATCTTGAATGGAGGGGAGTTTGCAGCCAATGACCTTCTCTGCAGAGCGCACGACACGCTGCAGCCTCTCCTTGTCCCTGGTGGTAGCTCCAGCGTACCACACGGTGATGGAGGAGGTGAGGGTGGACTCGATGATAGCGGTGTAGAACTGCCTCATCGACTGTGGTGATAGGTTGAATTTCTTCAACTGCCTCAGGAAGTACATCCTCTGCTGGGCCTTTTTTCTGATGGTGGTGATGGTGGGCTCCCATTTGAGGTCCTGGGTGATGGTGGTGCCCAGGAAGCGACATGAGTCCACCATCGTGATGGGAGTGTCAGACAGGTTTAAGGGGGGCGATGGGGTGTGTGTGTTTCCTAAAGTCCACAACAACCTCCGCTGTCTTCTGGGTGTTTAGCACCAGGTTGTTGTGGCTGCACCACAACATGTTTCTTTCTCCTCCTTTTCTGTGGGGGCATCAGCGCACCTACCATTACAGCACTAACATGCAGTAACGCTACTATCCCGCAACAGTAAGGCTCGTGTTTCATTAACTGTTTTTTCTGGTTCCAGGATCCCACTGACCTACAGATCCACCATGACTCTCAACGAGCCCCCTTCAGACTCGGCTCCCAGCCCAAGCACCTCACACTCCCTCAGATCCTTCTCACATTCTCTGAAGGTTCCTCCAATGAACGGCAGGGGCCGTCACGGTCCATCGCTCGTAGGAAACCTCAACCTCAGCCGGCGAGTCCATGATGAGAGAGGACGTGAAAAGGGAATTGTGGAACGCTCTCATTCGCCGCTACCGCCTCTGCTCACCTCACACTCGTCCTCCGACCTTCTACGATTGTGTAACAGTAAACCTCTACGCACCGCTCGATCCAGTAGCTCCTCAGCTCCACCTCTCCCCCCAAAGCCCAACCCCTCCTCTCTCCCTCCCCCTGCCTTGTCCCTGTCTCTGCCCCGTCCTCATCCAGCTGTGTCCGCGCCCTGTGACAACATCGCTCCACCGTCGCTAGTTTGTGACTACAGAGATCCTCCCAATGCGTCAGCGGATTCAAACGTCGATTTGGAGCTCGGCTCCACTGGGGCGCGCCGCTCTTCGCTACATAGATCCAAGTCAGATCTGTCGGATCGGTATGCCCGGGCTGGAGCTGACGTTGAACGTTTTTTTAACTACTGCGGCCTCGACCCTGAGGAGCTGGAAGCGGTCGGTCCGGAGAACTTTGCACGGGCCAACTCGGACATTGTCAGCTTAAACTTTCGATCTGCTTCTATGATTTCCTCCGACTGTGACCAGTCACGGCGATCGTCTAATGATGGCGTGTCAGAGGGGGACGAGGGTGAGGATGAGGAGGAGGAGGAGGCTGGGGAGCGCGTACCGTATGGCATCTCAGCTGTGGAGCGAAATGCAAGAGTCATTAAATGGCTCTACAGCATCAAACAGGCCAGAGAGACGCAGAAGGTCTCACATGTTTAGGGTCGGTGCGGTCGTGGACCACAGGTGCCATCAATCACAGACAATCCCTCACTGAATGCGGCGGATGAGTCACAAACTAGTGTTTGGACTGAAATCAAAGGTTAAAGCTGGGACGAACAGAACTGACCCAAACCAGATGGTACATGAAGCAGAACCACAGGGTTCAGATCAGGACAAACAGAAACAGAACTTAGGAAGGTGTAAATAAACATTTAAACCTGCTTTTTGTGATAAGAGAGACAGTGCGCCTCAGAAGCAGGACCTGCTGAATGCTCTGCAGCCGTCTGGAGGCAGAACGAGGAACCACTTCCTCACTGAGGATGTTTTGGTGAAACAACATGAGCTGGTTTCCTTTCTTTGATCATCGCTACATGTTCTCATCTTTGAGGTCATTTGAACTGACCTCTGTTGTCCTTCACTCAGAATGGCTGGTCAATCAAAGAGATGTTGGTGGGAGCAGCTTCTGCCACGGCAACGAACCCAACACGGCCGTTCCTGGAGAAGCAGACGCATCATTTTTATTTTGAGGTCTAAGAAGCAGAAGACAAACACCCTTTGTTACAGTGTGAATACTGCCGCCTTCAGCTGAGCTCAACTGAAGTTTTTGCACATCTCATCTTCTGCCTGGTTTCAGAGTTTTTGTTCTGGAGTGAACGTGGTGAAGTGTGATGACTTCTGCTAACCGAAGGTTTTCTTCTGATGGTTTAGAAATGAAACAAGTGATTCCGAGTGGAACACAGAGTTCAGTCTAAATGCATATGGACATGGTCCTGCACAGTCCACTATTGTCCCTGTGTGTGTGCGTGCGTGAGTGCGTGCGTGTGTGTGTAGGTGTGTGTGTGTGGAAGGGGGGGTTCTGATGAAGCTGGGTATGTTCTGTATACCCTGAACCGTACAACCGATGTTATGTGTACCAAACACTCTCCATTAAAAAACAAGACACACAAGTGTTTCTAGTGTTGTGATTTGAATCCAAACAGCATCCTGATGAGTTGAGACGCTTCCTGTTCTTCAGCTGTTCAGTTGCATTAAATCACATGACTAACAACCAGCACAAGGTAAGTGGCCTGTATTTGATATAGCTCCTTCTAGAGCCCTGGAGCCCCCCAAAGTGCTTTACAACACAATCATTTAGCCATTTACACCCTGGTGGTGATGAGCTACAATGTAGCCACAGCTGCCCTGGGGCACACTGATGGAGGCGAGTCCCTTCGAACAGTACCAGCAGGCAAGGTAAGTTATGTGTATTGCCCAAGGACACAACAACAGACTGAGCGGCGGGGTATCTGCGGGTCCTTAAAAAGTCTTAAATTAGCTTTTCCAAATTTAAGACCTTAAAAATCCTTAAAAATGACAAATAATCCTTAAATACAGTTTCCAAAGGTCTTAAATTACCAAAGACCCAACAAACAATTTTCTAAAAAAATTGTGTGAATTTCTAGTTCAGCATTTTTTGCGTGTGATGTTGGCGTAAGCGGATCCGTACACATTCAGTTGGTTGTGAAAGGGGGCTATTTTTAGATGAGCACATTAGCTGGTTAAGCTAGTGGGAACTTGCGCCATGGGAAGTGCAAGTTTAATGGTAACTGGATGGCTAATCCCACGTTTGCGACGTGGTTAGCACTGGTTCCAGGCAATAGCTGGAAATTATAGCTTAAATTTAATTTTTTAAAATTGATTAAATTTGGTCCAAGTGGCCTTAAAAAAGGTCTTTAAAAATCTTAAATTTGGTTCCCTCTAACCTGCAGATACCCTGGAGCGGGGCTCAAACCTGCAGCCTTCTGATTGCGGGGTGAGCACTTAACCCCTTTGCCACCAGCAGGTTGTTAAAATGTTTCTGTTTGGATGTAAAAACTCATTTGGTACTCGGGGTCAAACATAACACACAGTGCTTGAAAACCTCTTCCTAATCTACCAACTTTACCGATGTTGGTATGATCCCATCAGCCTCACATTGTTCTGAGGGTGTCCTCTATAGCAAAGTGTAAAGGTGTGCTGGTGTGAGACAAACTACAACACTTGGGAGTCATACACCAGATTTTTCTTGTTTCTGTGTGATAAGTAATGACCTGGTGAATCTGTGTTCTTCTGGTTGATTTTGACAACCTTATAGTCTTTATGATGAGAGCTGTAGACGCAAAAGTAAACACCAGATGTAAACGTGTTATTTGTTTCATTCATGATCATCTACAAAGGTTTATGTACAGTTCTGGACCAAAGTCTTGCCACTTGTGTATGTTTTAGAAACTCCTGCTATTAACTTGACTTTTAATTGATCAATTGGTGTTAGAAAAGCTAAAGCCCTCCCAAATAATGTTAAATGTACTGAAAAAAAATGTTTCACTTAAAAGTGATGTGTCATTTAATCAAGACAGAAAGGTCAAAATCTGGCAAGACAAAAGTGGTCACCCATACAGAAAATGATCAACTTTACAGCAAATCCAAAAATATATCAGCAAATTAAGTAGTGGTGCTGTGAGATCCAAATTTTTTATCTTGTATGACTTCCATGAACTTGACGGACAGCATCCATGTGGTTTGGCAATGATTCGTACAATTTATTGATGAAGTCATCAGGAATAGCAAAGAAAACAGTCTTGCATGCCTCCCAGAGTTCATCAATATTCTTTGGCTTCGTCTTCCATGCTTCCTCTTTCGTCTTACCCACATATGCTCAATGATGTTCTTGTCTGGTGACTGGGCTGGCCAATCCTGGAGCATCTTGATCTTCTTCGCCTTGAGGAACTTTGATGTGGAGATGGAAGTGTGTGATGGAGCACCATCCTGCTGCAGAATTTGGCCATTTTTATGGTTGGGAATATAAGAGGTAGCTAAGATTTTTTGGTATTTTAGACTATTGATGTAGCCTTCCACTCTGCAGATCCCTCGCACACCCCCTTACTGGACGTAACCCCAGACCATGACTTTGCCTCTACCAAACTTCACTGTTTTCTGGGTAAAGCTCGGCTCCAAGCGGGTTTCAATAGGTCTCCTGCAATTTTTGCAGCGACTGTGGTGTAATTCAACAGAAGATTCATCTGAAAAATCCACCTTCTGCCACTTTTCCGGCATCCATCCTTTTAGCAGGCTGTGGGACTTGGCAAATGCCCCACGGTTTTTCAATTGTCTTTGGTTTAGTGCTGGCTTATGGGCACTGATTCGGCCTTGGAGGCCATTTTGAGACAGAATACTACAAACTGCTCTGGTTGGCACAGGGATTTCAGGTGACCAGGTCTCCTGGAGCTCTGCTGCAGTTGAAAATGGGCTTGCCAATAAACGGTCCTCTCAAGCAGTTGTCTTGCCTGACCTGGGCTTGTCAAAACCTTCTCCAGTGTAACGTAATGAAGGAGCTATTCCTCCCGAGGTTATTTAACCTCTCCCCACGGATGCCTCTGACACAGTACTAAGTGCATGAGACAGCCTCAAGGTCAAGCATTCGTTTCTAAAACTGTTTTCTTTCCAGCAAGAGAAGAATGAAGACAAATGACTCTTTTCTTTTAATAAACCAAAGAACTCTATTTTTAATAAAGCTAATCAAAACAAGTGTTAGTCAATAATATAATGTTGACCCATCTGTGAAATGACAATGTTATGATTAATATGCTTTAATAAGTAATATGACTTTAATCTAGTGCACTAGACATGCTGATACACATAATGTAAATGCACACTGATGTGTGTGTGAAATTTGTTCTCCTTATTTGACCCATCCCCTGGGGGAGCGGTGAGCTGCAGACACATCTGTGTTCAGGAACCATCTGGTGGGAAGGGATGCTGGTGAACCAGCTGGAGCTTCTTCCTCTGTGGAATATTTTGCTCTTTATGACCACTGTCACGTTTCTTCCCATTTTAAATACTGAATCCACTCATTCCTACTTTAAAGCCTTATTTAGGATTTGGTTTTAAACAATGTTGCATCAAGGGTTTACTGGTAAAGCTCTGTCCTGGGCCGTCCTCTGTACGCAGTATGGGAGGTGGAGGACAAGAGGGTGCTGGCAAAACTCAGATCAATGCTGGACCATGGGTCACACCCCCTGCAGGATGCCCTGTCTGCTCTGCAGGGCCGCTTCAAGTGACAGACTGATCCACCCCAGGTCTTCCCTTCCTGCTGCCGTTAGGCTCTATAATGGTCACTGCTACTGTGGAAACCATACATCTGTAATATTCCACTACAAATATAATCATCGACACCTGCAATATTACTGTCATCAGTATGTGCAATAATTATCTTGATTATCTTAATTTACAATTATACTCTTGTGTTCTATATTTTGTGTACCACTGCTGCTGTCCCTGAGCTGTTGCAATACTGCAATTTCCCCACTGAGGGACAAATAAAGGTATTCTTCTTGTTGTTGCTCAGGTAAATATTAGCAGGTGGTTCGGTATAAAGCTGAATCCACTTTCTAGGTTACGCCCACTAAAATAGACAGAATCTATAAACTGGATTGAATGAATGCAACACAATATTTTTTCAAACATTTGTGCCGTTTATTGCTTTTAAAACTAGTCAGTTTCAAAGTTGGTGAAGACATAAAAACGTTTACAGCATATATGAAATAAATGTTTATTTTGCGACTATTTTTTTGTGTGAAATAAAAACAAGAATGTTCTTTTAAACTCTTAAAATCGCTGCTCCCATTTTAACTTGTAGTTTTACTCCCCTCCCAATATGGCGCTGTGGATTACGTACGAGATGACGTTTTATTACGTCATTCTCTTGCGACTATTTACAAACGCTCGGCTGCTTTTACGATGCGCTGCTATGACCGGTAAGTTCTGCGTTAAATGCCGCAGACATGGAATCAAACAGCCAATGTATTAATTATTATTCTACTAAATACAATAACGAAACATTTAGTGTGCCCACAAAGATAATTCTGAATAATTTAAACATGTTTTCTATTGTTGAATGGTTTTGGGAGGTCCTTGTCAGGAGAAGGAATCCATCAGTTAGACGGAGAAGGTCAGAGGTCATTTATCATAGATAAAGAAATGATTGAAGCCACCATAGAAGTCACTTTGTAGCAGACTGGGTTGATGAGGAGGAGGAGGAGGAGGAGGACAGAAAATCCTCAACAACAGGGACATGTTAGGCCCTGTCCTCCCTGTGTGTGCAGAGACAGACTGCTGTGTCCTGGATGAGGAGGACTTCCGTCGCTGCTGTCGTCTCCTCCTTCAGCGGTCGGAGCAGCTGAGGGATGGCTGGAGCTGGGAGGTAGTCCAGGTGAGGAGGTTTCACACGTATACCTGAAAGCCCGGTGTCCTCCAACAGAGCCGCTTGGTAAACTCCTAAATGTGGTTTTAGGGTTCAGATGAAGGGTACCTGAGGAAGACTGCTCTCAGATCAGTTCCAGATCCACAAACAAGCACCTGTAGTTCCAGACCCAAACAATCAAAGGAGGAGGTGTGTGTAGGAAATCAGAATCCAATTTGAAGCAGCAGATTCACCAGAAACGAATACACCAGCTTCCCCTCTTTTCTTCCTTTACAGCCTGATTGTGCTTCCTCGCTTGTTCCCGACAGCGGGAGAGGTGAGCTGGATGAGGAAGATGATGGCAGCTGTATAGTGAGCGAAGGCAGCAGCGTGGTGCTTCAGTACGAGTACCACATCCTGTACTCCAGCAGCTACAGTACTCCAGTGCTGTACTTCAGAGCCTTCACTCTGGGTTAGTCACAGAAGAGGCTGTGGGAACGTGGGCTTCTATACCTGTAAAAGATTCAGACAGCTGTGTCTTCTTTTACAGTTTAACTGAAAGTTTTGTTTAAAGACCAAATTCACCGAGAAACCGGTTTTTTTTTTGGGGGGGGGGGGGGGGTAGATGATCAGTCACTCTGAGTTAAACATATAGACGGAATAGTCTTCTACCCCTATTTTCTGCATAAGGGGCAATGGTGGAAGAGGAGGTAAGTGCCTGGTTGCAGGTTCGATCTCCGCTCAGTCTGTCACTGCCATTGTGTTCTTGAGCAAGACACATAAGGGAGGAAATGGTGGCACCAGTGTACTTGAAATTCAAGTATTATTATGTGTCTCTGCGATGGACTGTTGACCTGCCCAAGTGCCCTCCACCTCTCACAAGGCAATCAAAGGAGGCTTAAATGTGTGTGTGTGTGTGTGTGTGTGTGTGTGTGTGTGTGTGTGTGTGTGTGTGTGTGTGTGTGTGTGTGTGTGTGTGTGTGTGTGTGTGTCTTTGTTGGGAGCCATCGGAGTGGACTCACTCCCAGTTTAGCCAGAGAACGTCCATGCATAA